GCAGCTCTGCCAGCATGCAGGCAGCATGACTGCCTGAGGGCCCCACTGCACTGCTAGCTAGGAACCACTTATGGTAAGCACCTCCTGGCCAGAGCCAGTGCCTACACCTTGCACTCCCTCCCTGACCCTGCAACCAGACCCTGCCCAGAGTTCCTTCCCACATCCAAACTCCATTCCAGGTCATACCCCTCTTCCATTAATATGAAAGTGTGGCCTGTGACCACTTAAGCGTACTCCCCTCATAAAAAAAATTATTGCCTGCCACTGCTTTTGAGCATCACTTCTGCACAGGACACACTCGGCAAATTATGATGAAACTACAAATTGTACTGATTAAACTTGTAACTTTTCTTCCTACTACAAAACAAACTTTGTTATCCGACATTCATGGTGAATGGGGGTTGCTGGTTAATAAAATGTTTGTTACTCAAACTATTCAACCAATAGTTCATGAATTTTTCACCATGCGCAAGGATTAGTTGCAGGATGGGATAAATAATATCTGACATTGTTCAGGGTATTGTATGCCAAAAAATGACAAACTTTACTGCTTTACTACAAACTTTACTAACTTTTAATGTCTAAATTGATGCTGGGTGGCTGTTGGATTTTTTTCTGTTTAATTGAAGGAAGAATTGTATTGCCATCTATGACAGATGCCAGTTAACAGTGTGTTCCTGATATTAAAGTGCTGGATAACAAAGCTTGTACTGTAATGTAAAAAGGCCCCAAGTGTGTCGTAAGGAAGGCAAAAAATATCCACCAGATCCTCTACTAATCTTGTCTCAAAGGGGAAAATTCCTTCCTGGTGCACAATGCTGGTGATCACTCAAACTCACAGCAGTGTTTGGAGGGGAAAAATATTTAAATTCTCCCTTTATGAAATTTTGCACTATTTTCCTCATTCTTGTAGCTTAATAACTACAGTTGTTCATGCCTGTCTTCTTCCCTCTGTCCCAAACTCTGACTTTCACTTTTGTGCACAAAGAATATTTTGGGCAAGTAATTTTGAATTGTCCAATAAATTTTATTGCAAAATCCTATCAACTGTCATTTTATACTGAATGGTCTTCGTTAGACAGAATACACAAAATGTGTTTAGCACATAAGTTTAAAACATACTTAAAGTAATGTTTTAGATCTGTTACATGTAATTGTAAATGAATGTTTTAATTATACTTACCCTACAAATCTGTTTTCATTGTACAGTAGGATTCGTGATTTATAAGACTTTATAAGCAAAACTGTCAGTTTTGTTCAGAGTCCACTGGTTTTGTTAATGATTTGAGATTAGTAGCTGAAGTTGACTTTAAGAACAAGGGCAACTTGCTGTTCAAGCAAGAAGAAATACTTTGTTCTGAATTTTTTTGCCTTTGGAGAGATTCTTTAGGGTTTTTTTTAACTTCACTACTGCAGTGATGCAGAGTTTTTGTCAACTGCTTTAAAATTTTACTTTAAAAATTATAAGGTTGCTATTAAGGAGTGAAGAATGAGTAGCTAAATAATTTCAGTTTGATTTAATGTTTTTCAAAGTAGTAATTTAAAAACAAAAATATTTTTTAATAGGCTCATTTATGGACATCACTTCTACAAACACCAGTAACAAGAGTGATGCTAACATGGAACCAAGTGACTTTCAAGGACCTGCCACCAATGATACCATTAAACGCTTAGAATCAAAACTGGCTCAGCAAATGAAAAATCCAACAAAGCAGTCGGTAAGCAAGTGAAAAAAATATTGTGCTTTAAATATAAAATTGCCGTTAGATTAATATAATCATTATAGTAAAACTATGTGCTCTAAAATACAGGATTTTTTTCCTTAACAATAAGCTCTTTTATTCAGTAAAGGACAGTACGAATAATTTTGTACATCATCATCTCTAAATATGTAGTCCACTTTGCATTTACTGATGGTCAGCATCAGATGTTCTTCACGGATTTCCTTTTACAGTTACGTCAATAGAAGAATTAATATCAATGGTGAGGCTTATCTTTAAAAGCAGCTAGAAATTAAGCACACATATAGTCGTCTCTGTAAGACCTAATGGTGCAAAGAGGAAATCATAGAATACTAGAACTGGAAAGGACCTTGAGAGGTCATTAAGTCCAGTCCCCTGCACTCACAGCAGGACCAAGCACCAAATAGATCATGCCTGATGGATGTTTATCTAACCTGTTCTTAAATATTTCCATTGATGGAGATTCCACAACCTTCCTAAGCAATTTATTCTGATGTTAAACAACCCAGACTGAAAGTTGTCTGATCATCAGAGATCCAGGAGAACAATTTTTCTCCCTCATCCTTCTAATACCCTTTTAGCTACTTGAATACTGCTATCACGAGTAAGAAAGGAATGTAAACAGAAATTGCCTTTCAGGGTTGCTGACCACCACTGAGAGAAGAGCCAAATGTTTCCTCCCAGACAAGGCTTCTCAACTGTGAAAGTCCTGGGGACCACAATGATACAGCTCACCTTAAGTGTGGTTGCATGTACATGCAAATATCTATGCAAATAGCTTCTTTCACACTTTTGGGCATGAATACAAAGATAAAGGCAAGACTACACAACATGCTGGCCCCATTTAAATCAGTTCTGCTGATATTAATAAAATGAAATATTTACCCAATTTCCACCCACAGAATAGCACTTCTAACGAGCAATGACAGTCCAGGAATTTAACTGCTAAAACGCATATCAACAAAAGACCATTATATTGACTCACCATTATGGAGTGTGTTCCCAGTGGAGGCCATGTTCAAAGGATCCTACCCGTGGGCCGCAAGTTGAGCCCCATATAAACCCAAACTGCACCGCGGGCCACAAACAAGCAGGCCATGGGCTGAGTAGCCTTGCTGAAGGAGATATATTAGTGTGGGAAAGTAAACTACAATGTTAACTAGCTAACAAGCCACTGGTAGTGAGAAAGGAGTAGAAAGCGCAGAAGTAAAGCAGCATCTTCTGGGGAGCAGAAAAAGAGATGATGTGAATGTCGGTAAAATTAAGAGCAAAAGGAGACTGTTCCTTGATCAGGCAGGAGGGACAAAATACGTCACATTAGGTGACTCAGCATGGAGGAACACTAGTGTCTGGTGGGTTTGTTTTTTCTCTGCCAGAACCAGTGAAAGACTGGGATTCCTTAGGTGAGGGAAGGAAGATATAATGGGGCCCAAAAGAAGTATATCTAATCAGAAATGATACTGAGAAGGTAAATCAGGCATCTCTTATTTATCTTTTCTCATAATACATGTTCAGTGAAAGCTTTAGTCAGCAAATTTAAACTGGATGAAAGGAATTGCTTTATAAATAATATGTAAGTGATGTGGAACTCATTGCTCTAAGAAGGCATTCAGACCAAGAGATTGGTATGATTTCCAAAAAAAAAAAAAAGAGAGATTACACATCTATTTGAATAATGAAAATATATTGACAGTTTATATTAGGATTGAAAAATAGAGCTACGATAGAACCCCAGTTACAAATAGCTCAGGAATAGAGGTTATCTACAACTCTGAAATGTTTGTAACTGAACATAACATATGCTTGGTCTTTCAAAAGTTTACAACTAAATGGTGTCTTAATGCACATCTAAAACTTTTCCATGCAAAAGAAAAATGCTGCCTTTCCTTTTTTAGTAGTTTACATTTAACACAATACTATTGCCTCTTTTTTGGTCTGCTGCTGCCCGATTGTGTGCTTATGGTTCCAAATGTGGCTGACTGGTCTGTTCATAACTCTGCAGCTCATAACTTTGAAGATCTAATGTAAATCTTCAGTGAGTCAAAGCAAAGTTAGGCCAATGCTGAGTGCTTATATAAATCACAACATATTTGGTGCTATCTATACATGCTTTAATTATTGGTTACATGATTTTTGTTTTAAAAATATACAATTTAATTAATAATACTACAGTACAGGTTGGTCCAGCACCCTCAGGACATGACGAGTCCTGGATGAGAGATTTTGTCAGACCAGGGCAGGTCATTTCTGTCTGTCGTCATCGTCCCATCTTCCTCCTCCCCCCCGCCACCCAGCCTGCTCCCACTCTTCTCCGCCCCCTCCTGCGCGCGCGCGCACACACACACACACACACACACACACACACTCTCTCTCTCTCTCTCTCTCTGTCTCTCTGTCTCTCTGTCTCTCTGTCTCTCTGTCTCTCTCTCTCTCTCTCTCTCTCTCTCCTGGTCCCTGCTTCCCTACCAGCTCCTGCTGCTCTACTGGGCAGCTCCGCCACTTCTACATGCTAGGTTCCTGCTGTTTCATTGGGCTCCCACTGCTGCACCAGACAGCCTGCTGCCACCATGCGCTGTACAGCCCTGGCACGCACCTGGCTCCCGCTGCCCTACTGAGCAGCCTTGCTAGGAAGCCCTGCTTCTATGTATTAGGTTCCCAGGTGCTAGCCCTCTACCAAGACTCTCTAGTCCTGGAACATATGTGGTCCTGCCAGACCACGGATGTTCCCAGACCTGATTTAGAGAGTTTCAACCTGCATAAGTATTTTCTACAGAAATATACGGGGGTGGAGGGGAGTTTCCCTCATCACTGTTCTCTTACCCTTATATTCAGAAATCAGAAGTTAAGCTCAGAAGTTGATGCTTAATTTTTCTGGAGTAACATTTGTTTTAAAATTAGGACTGTTGATTAATTGCAGTTAACTCACTTGAGTAACTAAAAAAATTAATCCAGATTAATCACAATTTTAGTCACACTTTAATAAAATACCAATTTTAATTTAATAAATATGTGGATGTTTTACTACATATTCAATCATATCTGTTTCAGTTACAACACAGAATAAAAAGTATACAGTGAACACTATATTTTTATTACAAATGTAAACATGATAAAGACATTTTTTTTCAGATCACCTCGTATTAGTACTGTAGTGCAGGGTCTTTATCATGAAAGTGCAACTTACAAATGTAGGTTATTTTTGTTATATTGTTTTGTTTTTGAGTGCAACTCTGTAAAATTTCAGAGCCTATAATCCACTCAGTCCTACATCTATTTCAGCCAGTTACTAAAACAAACAAGTTTGTTTAAATTTATGGGCCATAATGCTGCCTACTTCTTATTTACATTGTCACCTGAAAGTGAGAACAGAAATTCACATCCCACTTCTATAATCAGAATTGCAAAGTATGTACGTGTCAGATATGCTAAATATTTGGATGCCTCTTTATGCTTTCAAGAGGATATGCTTCCATGAAAAAAATGTTAATTAAATTTGTGACTGAACTCCTTGGATGAGAATTGAATGTCTCTTACTCAGTTACCCACATTCTGCCATATATTTCATGCTGTAGCACACTCAGACGATGACCCTGTACATGTTGTTTATTTTAAGAACACTTTTACTTCACATTTGAACAAAAGAAATTAAGTTAACTTTCTTTAATAGGGGGACCCTGGTCGTTTGAGTTTACCTCCATCTCGTGGGAGCAGCGTGGAAAGCTTATCAGATGTTCGTGGACGACCACAATCAACTCTTGTTTCAGGAGAAAGCAAGCGGATGAGTGCTGACATGTCCGAAATAGAAGCAAGGATTACTGCTACCACAGGTAAAAATAAATAAGTTGGGGGCAGAGAACAGTGAAAAGTTGCTGAAAGTAGTATGAAATTATGTGCACATTAAACAATGTTTCTCTTAAACCTACTTTTAATAAGATGATCCCCGGTAAATATTATTTGGGCATGGCTTCCTTATTAATCTATCCATTATTTTTTTTTTAAGAATTTATATGAATAGGCCTGGCAGAACTTGATTTTTGGCTTTTGTATTTTTGATAGTTAATATAGATTCATTTTTAATTTTTGTAGTTTTGCCTTGTTCCTATGGTCACAAGAAATTAAGAGTGGTTTGAGCTAGGAGTTTGGATAGGTCTGAAAATAGAATTTCAGGGAGCTCCTGGCATGACTCAGTTCACCAGGCTTAGCCCCTGGCAGGGCGCCAGAGACTTTATTTGCCTGTGCATCTTCAGGTACAGCTGCTTGTAGCCCTCGTTGTCCACAGTTGGCCATTCATGGCCAACAGAAGCTGCTGGTCCCCTGCCTCCTGCTGCTTCTACTAACTTTCATATGGTACAAATGAGTGTGCAGTCCTAGTCAGGAATCTCTGCTCCATCAGATAAGGCTGTGTGGAAGACAACCCCCAACCCAGCCCTGAATAGTGGGGGCGGCCATGGGGCCAACAACACCCAGTCTCTGCAGGCCCCTGATGCAAGCAAAACTACAGTGCTGGTGGAGCTAAGCAGGGACCCCCTAGCACTTGTGTCTAGTGAAAAAGTGGCTGAGACAATAGGGTTGCAGAGGGCTCCCTATGCTGCTGAAGGGCCAGTGATACCCAGTCTTTGCAGGTGCAAGGAAAGTTGTGACCTAGCCAGACAAAGCAGAGACCTCTCCCCACCCCAGGTTTATGAGGAATAGAATGATGATTCCCTGTCCCTGAGGGAGGCTACCTTGCTGCTGAATAGCTCCGATCTTGGGACAGAGACATTCAGCAGAGTAGCTTCCTTTCTCTGCTCTGCCCCACCTGGATCACAGGCTGATGGGATCCACTGTCCCTGACCTCATATTGTTTCCAGGGGAGTCTTATACAGCTTTCCTGTCACAACCCTGCTTATTCCTTCTCATGGCAGCAGGGCACTCTGTGCTGCAATACCAGTGAGGTCAATTCCTGCATGTACAAAGTATGGGGAGAAGTTACACTTGTACCAGCTGTTACTGATGGATGTTTTTCCTCAGTTTTAGTATCTCAGTTATAATCAACATTTATCAATCTCTATCAATTTAAATAAAATCCTGCCAAGTCTAGTTATAAAAAACCCAGCTCCTTTCACATTTAGCACTCAGGCCTGAAAGAAGGTGTTATTTTTTAAAATATGTGTAGTTTTAAGATTACAGAAAAGATTTGACTACATATACAGTGGATAAGTCAGATTTTGCTTGCATTTTGTAAATTTGTGATTCTTTCATTTGAGCCTTCTTTCATTAATGCAAGTTAAAACCTCTGCTTCTGAGTGTTACTTTATTCATTGTCATTTTTATTATTTGAATTACTTTTCATTCAAACTATATTTTAAAATTTTGTAAATGCAGTAGATAGATTTTTAAAAGCAATAATATTTCCACCGGTAAACTGAAAAGTAAGTTTTGGCGGAAAAGAAGTGCAAATTATTAATATAGTTATGCTGTTGAAAAGATCAGATATAAATATAACCCTCTTGTTTCAGAGAAACAGAAGTTGGGTGTCTTTGTAAAAATGTTTAGCTACACATATTTTGCCAGGGTGCAAAAGCTGCCCCATTATTTATATGATAAATTATTTATGTATGATGAAATTTAGGGTACTAGCCATATTTAAATGCATAATTTTACAGCAAAGGCAGAGCAGGTGAATGTTTTCCCAATAAGCAAACTAACAAAACATTATACCTGGCAGGCACTGTCTGTTTTTTAGGTCCCGTTTTCACGGTTTATTAACTTATTTCATAATTGTAAATGTTTCTTTGTATTAACATATGTCCTTAGTAGGGATGTCAGCAGTTAACCGGCAGCCCAGCCAAGCCCACCGCCCTATGGGCTAGGGGTGCTCCAGCCCAGCCAGGCCCTCCACATGGGGGGCAGTCTAGCTCAGCCAGCTGGAGCAGTCTCTATCTGCAGTGCGGTGGGCCCCCACCCTGGAGATCCCAGTTAAACGTTATGTTTAACCACTTAACTGATTAAACAGGATTTTACATCTCTAATCTTTAGATTTACCGAATCCGAGCACAGTGAATACCAGTTAGACATTATCTTTTTGAGCCAATATTTTTGTATCACCATGAAAATTTGTAGTAGTCATATTAGTATGTACTTGGTATTCTGACTTTCTTGTGTACCATGACCATTAAACTCATTTTCCTGAGTTGAATAAGGTTTTTCCTGTAGTAATGTCCAAAGGCTTACTGTGATATGCACTGTACATACGTGTGGGATGACATAGGCCGGGTCTATACTAGACCCGGAAAGTCGGCTTAAGGTACCCACGTAAATAACATAACCTAGAGTCAGCATACCTTAAGTCAAGCTTGGTGCTGTCTGCACACCGGGAGAGCGACGGGAGCAAACACTCCCGTCAACTTTCCTTACTCTTTGTGAATCGAGGAGTACCAGCATCGACTGGAGCACCCTCAACGTTTAATTTAGCAGGCCCTTACTAGACCTGCTAAATCGAACACTAGAACGCCAACATGGTAAGTATAGATGTGGCCTTAGTCCCTGTCCTAAAGCGTTTATAGTCTGATTTGAATATGATAGTATCAGTTTAGGATTACTGGGGGTTTTATTACAGGTTGAACATCTCTGGTCCCCTAAATGTTTCCTTGGAGCCCAATAAACAGTTCAAGTGTTGGCAATGTTACTAGACGATATTGATCTCCCATGGTTCGACACAGGTCCGGTCCAGAGAGTTGACGGGCTAGAGATGTTCAGCCTGTATTCTTGTAACTTGTGGACTACAGTTACTTCCTGATAGCCCTCATCCATATGTTGTTGAGAGATGTATTCAGGAAGGGTCTGACAACCTCAAAGCAATTGTTGTCTTTACCTAACAATAATCTGGAGTGTTTTGATTCATTTTAATATTGTGGGCCTCATTGTCTCTCTCACTGGTATAGAACAAATGTAACTCATTTGACCACCCGCTGTGAGTTTGGAATCAGCCCAGTGAATCTTCCTTAACTGGATTCTTTTAAGTGATACCACTAATTATATCCAAGTATTATGTTCTGAGATTTTGCTATGGCTGTTTTTTTATTAATTTTCCTTAAATAAAGTTAGTTGATTCGACTGGGACAAGTATTAGGAAACAGCATTCATTTCAGGCAGTGACAAACTAGTAGAAATCAGGCCACGCAAATCTCGGGCAGGTATTGTGATTTAAGCTGGAAACAGCAAACAGTGGTGATTTCTTAATCACATTAACTGTTACAGAGAACAACATAATACGATCCTGGACAAAGAAATTGTGTTGCTATGTGAGGATAAGGCTATCATCAAGAATAAATAAATCAAAAAGTATTTTAAGAATTATCTAATCCTCTTGTTCCATCTATTATTAGACTTGCCACAGAAACAAATCAGGCGGTGTATATTTGTCAGTCACTGAGTTCTTTCAGGTAAACATGCCAGAGCAGTTTTTGGGAGATGCATTCACAAATCTATTCCAAATGAAACATAGTTAATCTTTAAACTATAGGTCTTTATTTTACCACTGCTTCCTCTTATCACATGTGGCAAAATGAACTTTTTAAAGTATGTTTTATGCTCTTGGGTGTGACTAGAATAACTACATACTCCACTTCAAATATGGGATATTTTTTTGTTTTGTTTTTCAACAGTCCCATGAATGGGGTGGTTGAAGCAAAATGCAGGACAATGTAGCACTTTAAAGACTAACAAGATGGTTTATTAGATGATGAGCTTTCGTGGGCCAGACCCACTTCCTCAGATCAAATAGTGGAAGAAAGTAGTCACAACCATATATACCAAAGGATACAATTTAAAAAAATGAACAAATATGAAAAGGTGCTTATTCTAAAGTAGTTAGGTTGGTAGGCAATGGCCACTTTTACAAAACAGCAAACGTTTAGTCAGAGGTCACCTTATAAACTCTTGAAGCAATTCTTCAAATCTTGCAATATTAAAGTGAGCTTATCTTGAATATCACTTGGATTTCACTTTACAGAAGATGACAGTTACAGAAATTAAATTCATGCTTACTCACCATGAAAATGTAAACTTATTTATAAACAATGTTAGCCTAGGACTAGAAAAAAACTCATGCTGTATTATACAGCTTGAAACAATTTAAAAAGTACGATATGCAGGTGAACTGAAAAAAGTGATATATGTCTTCCATTCTCATGGTTGCACTTTTGGTTTTTTTCCCCTTCCTCATTGCCATGCTGCTTTGTCTGAGATCTGTGTTGCTAACTACAGCTAATTATGTTGTATTGACTGCTAGTTCTGTTTTGCTTTTAACAATTTCTTTACTATTTTTAAGCATGAATAGAAAGCTATGCACTTTATTCTGTGTGACATGTTTTGCATGTAGTTTAGTTTAACAGCAGTTTATGAAAATTGCAGTGTCATGTATTTAATAATTTGCTGTGTTACCGTTGTAGCTATTTGCATGTGTATTGTGTGTGTATGTGTTTTTTCAGCCTATTCCAAGCCTAAACGAGGCCATCGTAAAACTGCTTCATTTGGCAACATTCTGGATGTCCCTGCAGTCGTCATAACAGGTATCACAGACCACATGAGTGGGTCTATTGACTAAGATGATGGAATAATGATCACATTATTTAAAAAAAAATACTTTTTGCTCCAGTTTGCATAGGGTGCAGATGAAAACCATAAAAAAAACCCTTAATGGATGCCCTTGTTTAAAAAAATTAAAAGCTTGCCAGTGTGCAGTCCCCTTTTCCTTGTGTTTCAATTGGTTAGGCTTGAGCCCTTGGCTGGACTGCTTTTCTTGGTACTTAAGACCATTCCCCATATGAAGCAAATTGCAGAGAGAGCCTGTATGTGCAGTATTTTAAATATACATGCACTGTCATTGGAGCAGGACTTGGAACTTATGTCTCCCCCATCCTAAATGAGTGCCTTGCCCACCATAGAGTCATTCTTACTCTCTGGCCCAAAGACTACTCTCTGTTGTCATGAATGATTGCACCAACTTAGGTAGCAGGGGGTTGATATTTGGCTGGATGGATGAATGAAGGGAATGTTGTTTTATGGCTGGAGGGAGTACAGGGAATGAAAAGCACTGCAAAAGGGTCAGTGTGGTCTGACTCATCCCCTGAAAATACAGTGTTTAAAAATGGCAGCTCCCTGAAGCTTCCCTTTTTACACAGAGCAAGCTGAGGCAGATCCCACCCTCCCTCCCCTTTAGATGATAAAATATCAGATTTAGTCAAGACTAGGGGTGTTAAAATGCACTTAAGTAAACATGTAACTGCTGTAAATTTCAGCAATTACACGGTTACATACGAGAGAGTGAGGGGACAGGCAATGGCTTCCTGCACATACTGGCTTCTGCCTGCCCTACACATACCTGTGTATCAGAGGCATGAGGGACAGGCAGCTTCCCATACATACTGGGAGCCTGCATGTAACTGTGAAGGTTGACCAGTGAGCCAGGGCTCATTGATTAATTGTGTACACGGTTACACTTTCATATTCCTAGTCAGGACTTGAACATAAGAACGGCCATACCAGGTCAGACCAAAGGTCCATCCATCTAGCCTAGTATCCTGTCTTCCAACAGTAGCCAATGCCTGATGCCCCAGAGGGAGTGTACAAAAGAGGTAATCATCAAGTGATCACTTTCTTATCATCCATTTCCAGCCTCTGACAAACAGAGGCTAGTGATACTATTCCTACCCATTCTGGCTAATAGCCATTGATAGACCTAACCTCCATAAACGTATCTAGTTCTCTTTTGAACCCTGTTAAAGTCCTGATCTTCTCAACATCCTCTGGCAAGGCGTTCCAGGGGCTGACTCTGCTCTGCTTGGGGGGGAAAAAACTTCCTTTGTTTTAAACTTGCTACCCATTAATTTCATTTGGTAATCCCTAGTTATGTTCACTCTAGTTCAGACTCAGTGTTGTCATCTATGAGCAGTATATTTGCTTCCAAACTCTTACAGTGCAGCCAGGTTTTCCTCTAAAATCCTCAAGATGGCAGCCCCAACATTCTTTTATTGTTTTTACCCCTTGCTTTCCCTTTCCAGAAAGCCTTCACCCTCTTAACTTCACCTTAAAAAAAGAACAAACAAACAAACAAAAACTCAATTTTGTTAACTTCCACCAGTGTTAAAATGTTTACAGATCCTTATTAATAGACTGACAATTAGATGTAGAATATACAAAATGTAACTCTTTATCCAAAGAGCTTTGCAAACTAGATATACAGATCTCTTACTAGCCACTGAAATAAAGCTATGTCCAGGGTAGATAACAGCAGAACTTTACATCGTTTTGGGACAATGTGCAGACTACCCTATTTAAATAAAGCTGTCAGAGTAATTCAAGGTACACCAATTTCCCTAACTAGAATTTGGCTAGGGCACAAGGACCAACACCCTTTCTCACCTACCAGTGTTACAGGATTTCAAATGACTACATTTAGTTAAGCATTTCATTTTGCATCTTATCCAAAGGATTGCAAAGGTGCTCCATAGTACTTCTGAGGAATTGAAACAGAACTGACTTAGTGCAAGAGCTACCTCCCAAATCACCATTTCTTATGTCTGTGTTTTACTTGGAGGTCTCATATTGATGGACTGATCGGGCTATTTAGTTTAAGTATGCAATAGCTGAAAGTGAAAAATATATATCAAAGCTCTTTGTCCTGCAAACACCCAAACTCTTGTCCTTTCTAAATGCTTTTCAAACACATTTTAAATGAGTATAATCGTCATTTATCTGAGATACTGACACTTAAAATCACTAAATCCTGAGTTTTCCATTAGTATTCAAATCTTTTTAAAAAATGAGTAAAATGGAGTTGATACTCATTTCCAATTAACTGTTTGATAACTAATCTTCAAAGGTAGTTATATGTATGTATTCATATGAACATACAAAAGCACAACTGAGTTCCAGCAGATATAGCATAACCACTGCAAACCAGTGTTTCTAAAAAGTCTTTCAACAAGATAAAAACCATGGCCCACCAATGTTTTGAAGTATGTATTGAAATACAATGCATAATACAACCAAGATAAGTAGGCCAACAATTTTAAAAAGTTGGTAGTCAGGAAATATCTGATAAATCTTGTTTACGTTATAGTATTCATACACTGGCAACTCCATTTGTGTGTTTACAGCCAAAAGTGCTCAAGTTATGTTATATCATTAACTAAAATGCCAGACTACCAAAGTGAGGCTTATTGAGTTTATAGTACTGTGGTCATTAGTACCGTGTAAAGCATAATTTCTCAAACCATGAAGTCCCTCCCCCAGAGAAGTTAGACAGGTCCCAAATCAGTTTAATATATAACTGCAGCACAGAATAAATACAGAGCTTTGGTGAAATCTGTATCATTGATGATGTACATCTCACAGGTGTGTCTTGAGGATGGAGATTAAGAGCATTAGTTGATATTTTGAAAATTATCTATATAAAAACTGTAGAAATGCATAGATGCATTAATGTCTGCTATGCCAATTTTCTTCATTTTGTCAAACTGATAGCACTCTTATGTAGTCATCAGTAACACATCTACAGTTTTTCAGTTTAAATAGCCTTAAACTTTTGGATACACAATGAAAACAAATGTTGATAACTAAAATTACAGCGCACACTGCTAAATGTGATTTGGAGATAAATTACACAGTCAGTAATTAATGCAAAATAAAATATGCTTTTATAAACTTGCATTCCTTTTTTTAGAATGTCCAGCTTCTGTCCCTCATTTACAAATGACTTCACTTAAACAGTTTTTCAGGTGAGATATTACCTTAAACAAAATCTTTTGTACAGATTTGCTTTAAAAGAAAAGAGTTAAACCAAATTATTAGATACCTCTTTAATATTAAGGGTAGTATTTTTTCAGAGGCCTTAGAATATGTTCACCGTGTTCATGAGTATTGCATTTTTAAAGAAGGAAATGCAAACTTTCAAGCCTCCCTGAATTGGATTGGCATGGAAAACTTTGTGCACATTAGGAGATGCACAGGACAGGAAAAAGTCCACATTTCTATACATATAAGGGAAAATACGCCTTCTAAAAGCATGCCATAAAGGAATCGTACTACATACACCTATGGTCTTCAGTTGAGATATTCCTCTTTGTATCTTAGCATCTAAGAAGGTATGCCAGCAAAGGTACTCTAAGGAACACCTGGATTGAAGTATTATTTAGATGGTGACAGGGCTGTGCATCAGAGAATATTTTCAGGACAAAGTGCCTGAGAGAGAACTTCAAGTTCCACTGAAGGGTCTTGCTCCAGGTGAAGTTAGAACTTCCTCTTTATGTAAAAGTTAACTAGGTTGAGGGCTTTAAGGGGGAGGAGGGCAGAGGGAGATTTTCCTTTCTAGTGTAAATTAATTAATATTTATTTATTTAATATTTATTAAATTTGTGTATTAAATATGTATTTATGTATTTAAAATATTGGCCTTATGCAAAATACATAATAGTAACATTACCAGACAGACCCTATGTATTAAAAATGCTGACAGTGATTATATTAAGGTAACATGTTACATGCAGGAAAAAACTACCTTAGAACCAATAAGATAGCAAAATTAAGCACTGAGAAGTTAGGAAAGGCTAGATTTTTAAGGCTGCCAGTGCAACCTTATTTCTGTCCTCTTGTGTATAAGAATTGTTAGCAGGGGAAGTCTGTAGCAGATCCAGGAATAGAATCCAGCCTTTCCTGAATCCCAGCTTGGTGCCTTTAAAATTCATACAAACATATTTTTCCTTTTGAAGCCCTCTGCTTCATTCATAGATTATGCTGCATTGAATGGGGGCATCAGTCTCTGTAGAAATATAGTATGTGTTCAAATAATTTAAAACTGTAGAGTAAGAGAACATTCAAAACAACTTTAAAAAAAAGTATAGACTAGAGCTAATTATTTAAAGTCAAAGAAATGTAGTCTATGTTCATATTCCTGAATTGACATTAATCTTGATTCTGGAGCAACAAGTATTTGTTGATTTGCAATCTTTGTTTCTCCTTTGTCTGAACATTTGCCAGATGTCTGTAGTATTTACACTAATTAAAATGACATTGCCTAATAGAGCTCGCTTTTGTCTCATGCTACTACTAACTTGGAGATTTCTTACTAATTATAACACAATCAACTAGTCGTCTTTTCTTGCCTTCAAAAAGTGTTCATTTTTACTTCCACCCCACCCTGATTATTTTAATTTTTTGGCAACTATCATCTAATGTTTCAGCAACACATGTGCCGGGTTCTTTAAATTCACAAATGTTGCTAATCTGAAATGAGAATTCCAGATATTTTTGCAAGCTTATTTCAGATGGGCTAATTTTAGAATGGTGCTGTTGAATGAAATGTGTACATAATTGTTGTATCAGTCATGGGGAGCTCATCTATATCTTGAGTTCCAAGATGAGTTGCCGCTACTATCAACAGTATAATTCTTCCATTTATGAGTAATCCTGTTTTAATGGCCAATTAGTTATATTAAATGGAAGAGTTTAATAATTCTTACTGAGTGCCTTGCAGAATAACCGTTCACTTACAACATTAAGCCTCACAACATCACTTTTGCATTGGTAAGTATTAGGGTAATTCCCCAAAATTACTGATGTAGAAAACTAAATTACTAAGAGGTTGTAAATTGATTTCCTGTCTAATTATAAACAGGGTCAGAACTGAGAATATTATACCACTTTCAGACAGCCTTGTCCCATTCTCTCATCTATAAGCTGTTTTCTCTCATGTATTTTTATAGCCTCTTGCATTTAATGTCAAATGACAAACTGGTGAAGAAGGTACTAAGAATTTTGCATTTTCTGATAGTGTGTTTCTAGAAGAGATCAGACTGCAGTTGAAGAACTTCATAATTTGTGATTTCTTGAACTGCATAGATGAAATTAGGTAGCCAGTTTCACCTTTTGTTTTAATTGGTGTGCAAATAAACTTATATTTAGAAAGTTTGCAAAGTCATATTTGAACAATATGTAAATGTCTAAGTTTAAAAAATGAGCTGCATGTTACAAAACATTGATTTATTTTCTGACTGTTAAAGAGTATGAGGGTAGATGTTGTAAATGTTACAGTACGCATTCTCAGTGCTGTTCTAGTAGAAAGTTATATAATGCAGGTTGAAGACCAAGAATTCTGAGTATTGTCAGCTGTTACTCATAATATTTTGGTGTTTCCTTTTGGACAGCTGACCTGTCATGTTAGGAGTCCATATAAACAATATTAAAAAATCAAAGTTGAGGGAAATTCAGTTGCTTAATGCATAGTATTTTACATAAGATTTAATTTCATAAACATTTATTTGATGGTATACCAGTATTAACTTTTCAGTTCTCACTAGTGGATAATTACTAATGGGTAGAAAGAAAACAGAAAAGATTATGACATTGTGTTTAGTAGATTAATATGTGATTTAGATAGAAAACCCCTATGCTGATTTTCAGATTAGGAACTGTTTATGCTCATAAAAAGATGACCAAGAGCTTTCATTTTGACTTGAGGTGAAACAAGTTTTCTTCTAGCTTCTTAATATAAGTGACAGGAACATAACATAGACAGAAGGCTTTGCTGTGTGCTACTTTAGAGGACAACAGGTTAGAGCTGGCAGCATCTTATCGTAGCAGCCTTGCTCTAGAAATGCCCATAACGTAACTCACTTGAAATAGATGTCGTCATCAGCCTCAACCTCCAAGTGCTAAGCCTGTTAAAACACATGTGACAGAAGATGGTGGAGTACAGTGCAGAAGCTATTCATGTGGTAGGAGTGGTTATTGTATTAGGAGATACTTTATGTTGACAGGCCAGCATTTTTTGAGTTAAAATTCTGCAGCTGTCTCTCTCTCTCCCACTTTCTCTCTGTGGATTTGTACAAATTCCAAGCTCCTGCTGCAATAGTCGCACCCTTCTTATTTTGTTTCTGAGCAGATTCTAGTGTTTTGTTTTGTCTTCCCCCCCCCCCATTCAAGATCTTAGTGTTGCTGGAACTGAATCCAATCAGGTAAAATCTTTCAGCCCGTGGCTTCTTTATTTGTCTTTCATGAACATTTAGGTGAAATCAACAGTTATCTTATACTATGGAGAGCTGGTCTTTTAAACTTTGTGTGATTAGGGATCATTTAATTTACAAATTATAGTGCCTCTTTTACCACCTAAAATAAAACATGTGAAAGGGCAGATTATGAAAGATGTCTAGGTGCCAGTTTCTTGGTTATAACTTGCGTAAGTAGCACATGTAACATTCAAAAACATTTTTTGTTTGTGCATGCTGCATAATTTTGTATGTACTAATAATGAACCTCAACGTAGTATTATCAAATCTAAATCATTATGGTGATATCTCTCCACTTTTTTTTTGGATTAAAATGTAATAGCAAAGTAACATAGCAAGGTCTTGCTCCTAAGACGTCAATACTTTTACAAGATATTTGCTAGTATCTATTGCTTTTTGTGTCATGGTGTCTGGATACCATGGTAACAAGCATAATGATACAGTCTAAAGTATTAAATGTTAAAATTAAACAAGATATGTCTCAAATGCCAGAGTACAGTTAGTGTTGCGTTAGCCTTGTTTCTTTTGTCTTGTTCATTTAATTGCTAATTTGTCGATGTTGGTAATTCACAGTGAGTTTTTGATCATTAGTGTGAATTAGCAAGGTTCTACTGTAATTTTAAGATCCCTGCTGTAGTTTGAACATGGAAAAATAGGAGCTCTGTGTGATAATCAGGTTAATCAGGTTTCCATATTAAACAGGCTACTGCAGTAATCCAAAATAGGTGGTAATTTTAGGGGTGTATACTCATCAAAGAGATTAACATTTGATCTCTCTTCAGTTTCATGAAGTGTTGTAGCAACACAAATCTTGTCCTATCCCCAAAATCTAGTTTGTCTAGTATATTTGTGAATATGTGCATAGATCAGAAGAAAACGGGATCAATTTTTTAAATTCAGAACACTTTCATTGTACATAGAATGTAAGCAGGGCTTTTTAAAAGAATTCTACAAATACAAGCACAGTAATAAATCATTCTCCGTTTATTTAGTCATACAGTGTAATTAAAGAAAGGATTTGAAACTGAACAATTTTTACTTACTGCTTTGTAATATGTTTACCTGTTTTATAATTAAGGTTTGAGTGCATGTCTGTCTCACCCATATGACACTGTATTGTGCAGTATTAAATATTTTGATGCAGGTTGTTTTATTTTTAACTTTCAGTTCTTTTTGTGGGGGTTTTTTTTGCGGGGAGGAGGGGCATTTAAAAATGATTGTTTGCAGGTACCAGATAATACCAGTAAGCTAGAAATATAGCATCTGTATTGGATCTTTTTAACTCTCGTACACCCTGCCTTTGAAAGCTGCTTGTGCTACATTCTTAGGGATTCTAGTTGTGTTCCTGCCAAATAATTGTTCTCTTGACCAGAATAGTAGCAAAAGTCTTTTTCACCCCAGTTTTCTTCTGGTACCTTTGTACAGAGAGGAAAATGTGGAGTTGGAATAGCTTTCACATTTTCCCATTTTTCCCTCCTACCTCTGCCAAGCTAAGGGTTAGAAATCTGTAACTCTTTTGTTTTACATTTCTGCTAAGTCTGTCAATCTGAAACTCTCTTCAGACTTTTTTTTTTCATTTTGAAGTGCTCTAGTACACATTTGAATAATAGTGAAGCATACAAGATAACTAGAATAAAATAACACCTCAAATGTCATAAAAATACACAGTGGATAACATTTTAGACTTTCGGTTTAAATAAGTTTTTGCTTTTGAGGTAGATTGAACGGAAAGCAATGAGAGCCTTAGAGATAGACTTTTCAATTTGTAATACCAAGTCAAATCTTTTCGGTCCCCAAAAAAATGAGTGCAAAAAGCAAGCTTGACTCCTAGATATTGCCCTCTTCAGTTTTCACTCGAGTGGGTCTTTGTCCAACTAGCTCAGTGGTTCCCAAACTTTTCGGCATCATGCCTCCCTTTTGATTTTTGAGAAACCCTCACGCCCCCCACCTCTTCTTTACCATCATCCAACCTCAAAATTTAACAAAAAATTCAAAAAATTCAATTTGTAATTTAAAATTAAAAATAAACACAAATAGTTTTTCTTGGCACAAAAATTTAATAAAAATGTAATTTAACATAAGAAATAGTACTAACAAACTGAATTTAATGTGAAGGATGATGTGTTTTCTTCACGATTTTGGAAATCCTAGGTTTGAAAGATGTAAGTGCGAAATGCAAATCATTTTTGACATCCAGTCAATTTTTTTGTTTTTAATGTGACTAAACTTGAAAAGCTTTTTCCACAGAGGTACGTTGACGAAAATGGAATAATACATAGTGCTTCTTCTCCAACTTTTGAGTACATTGGGAAATACTTTATCCAAAATTCCTGTGTTTTTGAAATTCTTTCTCACTTGAATCATATTTTATTTTGAGTGATTGTTCTTGCAATACTTCTGGCAATTAATCAACATCAACGTTGAATGCATTGCATACTAATTTATGAATGGGGTCGCCAGAAAAGTTGTCTGTAAAATAGCTGATGAATTCGTCAGCCAGGCAGTCCAGATGAAACACTATTTTGTTCTTCACATCCTCTTTACAAACTTCTTGGAAACCTTCATTTTCAGCGAGTGATGAAAATGTTGGAAAAGACAAAAAGTTAGGCGTCTGAGCTTGTGTTTGATGTTTCCAAAGCTGGATTTTTACCATAAATACTTTGATGGCATCATAGTGCACTATAATGTTTGCAGCATTGTTTCCTTGCAGCTTCAAAATGTTCAAAGATTAAAAAATGTCCATCAGGTATGCCAGTGAAAGTTCAAATGTTTGGTTTGTAAATATCTCTCTCCTTTCTTCTGTTGATTGAGGAAAAATTCCACTTCGTCTTTTAGTTTGAATAATCTCAAAAGCATGTTAACTTTGTAAAGCCATCGTACTTCCGTGTGAAACAAGAGTTTTATGATCTGCTCTCAAATCTATGCAAAGAGCATTAAAAAGTCTCATAATTAAAGCACTGTTCTTCACAAAATTGACAACTTTGATGGCCAAATTCAATGAGTCACATAGGTCATCTGGATGGGTTTTAGTGGCTAATGCTTGTCTGTGTATAATGCAGTGAGTTGTGGTTACGGCTGGATTTTTTTTCTTTCACCAACGTCACAAATCCAGAGCGAGAGCCAAGCATTGCTAGAGCACCATTTGTGCATACCCAAACCAGTTTTTCCCATGAAAGTCTAATTTCTTCAAAAAAGTTGGAAATCATTTTCGTAATATGAAAAGCCTTTTATGTGGTCATCAATTTCTTCGAAAAAAGCAGTTCTTCTTTCACAGTTCCATTGTTAATGAATCAAATGTAGACAAGCAACTGACAGTATTGTGCTACATCAGTGGTATCGTCGCACTTAATTGCAAAAAAAGGAGAAGCCAACACTGCCTCCACAACTTGAAGTTTAAGATCTTTCACCAGTTCATCGAAATGACATTTCACGGAATTGTCAGAAAGCAAAACTTCCAATAGATTTTTCTTGCTTTCGACACCAAGCACAATATCAGCTGCTTTCAACAAGCAAGAGTGTCTCTGATTATGTGCGCTTTCTTGGCTTTAGTGATGAGCAATGACAGTTCATAAGAAGCTTCTATCACTTTGGCCGATGCTTGATGAAAAGCTCCGGTAGTGTCCAGCTTCATGCGTTTCAAAATTTGAAGTTTAGTAGCAAAAACTCTTTTGGTTTCTCTGTCAAAGCACAGTGGTTCGTCAAGTGTCGCTCAGGATGGCTAAGAACTGTGTGGCATACTACGCATTGAGGATGATCAATCTCATTTTTTTTCCATGACGGTGAAGCCATACTTAATGTAGTCTTCATTGTACAGTAAAACTTCATTAGTCCCGCATCCAATTGTCCGGCACTCCTGATAGTCCGGCATCAACTGGAACCCGGAACTGCTCGGGTGAGCCGCTCTCACAGCCAGGCCGCAGTGACCCGCGCCATTCCACTCACAGTCCCCAGCACACACAGCGTCCGGCCTGCACGTGCTAGCAGCCAGCCGCAGAGCACAGGCATCTGCTTCGGGATCCGGACATAAGGTTGGGGGAAAAGGGGGATTGGGTGACAGCAGGGAGGGGAGGTGTTTGGCTCTGGGGAAGGGGGCGTAGGGTACCCGTGGGATTTTGGGCAGGAGGAATGGTGCTTGTGGGGGGTTTGGGCAAGGGGCAGACCCAGGCTAGTAGATTGTGTGCTCCAGCCCGGGGGCTGGTGGGAGGAGGAGGGGAGCACTAGCAAAGAAACAAAACAAAAAAACCTCCCCAAATTCTCACTGACATGGCCCCTGACTGAGGAGGAGACAAAATCTACTAGCCTGGGTCCCATTAGGCTTTGGTGTATGAGGGGAATGTGGGGAGTGTCTGTGTGCTCCAGCCCCACGGGGGGACAGCGGGGAGGCTGGAACACCAGCATGAGCTCCCCAATGCTGGGGGGAGATCCCACGCCTTGGGGGCCGATCCAGGCAAGCCAGGTGCTGCATCTGGCTCCTGGGCCTGAGATTCTCCACCCCTGCGCTACAGCACTGTTTGCTTCCATTCCCTGTAAACCCTTGTGCTGCCCACACTGCATTGGTTGCCCATGAAATGATAGATGATCTTCACAATGCTGGTTACAGTCTATAAAGCCTTAAATGATTTAGACCAGTGGTTCCCAAACTTTTCGGTATCACGTCCCCTTTTTGATTCTTGAAAAACCCTCACTCCCCCACAGCAAAACTTGTTGAGCAAAAACAAAAAGGGGGGGGG